AATTATAAAATATTATTAAAAGACATTAAAGGAGGCATAAATAAATGTATCTACAACATGTTTATAACGTGTTCATAGATAGGAATACTTACTATCATATAGATGTCAATTAACATTGATCATAACGCAAAAGTAATTCCAATCAAAATTACAACTTTTGTGTGTGTGTGAACTTCACAAGTTGACTCTAAAATATATGTGGAAAAGTAAAAGGCAAGCATAGCCTAGATACTCCTGAAGAAGAAAAACTAAGGTGAAGGAATTGGCTTTCTTCATATCAAGAATTATTATGAAAATACACCAAACAAGCAAGATGCTATTATTTCAAGGAGACACCAACAAAACAGAAGAGTGAGCCCAGAAACAAACTAACACAGATAGAACTTAACTTGTGACACAAACGGTGTTGCAGATGTGGGAGAGGAGATGGTGGACTTTTTAACAAATGTTGCAAGGACAAATGATTAGTCATATAGAAAAACAAAAACAAGAAGTGGACCCTAACCACCATACACCATATTAAATCCAAGTAGGTTAAAGAGATAAAACAAAAAGCAAAACTACAACACTCTATAAGACAATATCTTTTTTTTTTTGCGAGGGAGATCAGCCTTGAGCTAACATCCGATGCCAATCCTCCTATTTTTGCTGAGGAAGATTGGCCCTGGGCTAACATCCATGCCCATCTTCCTCTACTTTATATGGGATGCCGCCACAGCATGGCTTGACAGGCAATGCGTCGGTGTGCACCCGTGATCTGAACCCACAAACCCCAGATACCAGGCCGGCCCCCTATAAGACAATATCTTTATGACCTCCAGAAGGTAGGGATTTGTTAAACAAAACACAAAAAGTGCAAACTGCAGAGGAAAAGATTAATAAAATGCAATAATCTATGAAAACTTCTGACTTCTGACCATCAATAGTCAATGTAGAGGAAATGAAAGGAGAATTACACACTGGAAGATGATATTTTTTAACACATATAAGAGGCAAAGGATTAATCAATATCCAAAAAATAAAAATAAAAAGAACTCCTATAATCTACAAGAAAAGGAAGAACAGGGGCCGGGTGGTGGTGTAGTGGTTAAGCTCCTGTGATCCGCTTCGGGGGCCCAGGATTCACGGGTTCAGACCCTGGGCGCAGACCTACACACCGCTCATCAAGCCACTGCTTGGCGGCATCCCACATACAAAATAGAGGAAGATGCTCAAGGCTAATCTTCCTCAGCAAAAAGAGGAAGATTGGCAATGGATGTTAGCTCAGGGCCAGTTTTCCTCACCAAAGAAAAGAAAAGGAAGAATAAATAACCAATAGATAAATGAGGAGAAGTCTTAAATAGACACTTCATAGAAAGGAAATCTGAACAACCAATAAAAGATGTTCAATATTATTAGTAATCATGGAAATGAAAATTAAAACCACAATGAGAGATCATTTATAACTCACCATAGTGGAAAAAACAAGTTTGTTAACATCATGTGTTGGTGAGGATGAAGTTTAACCAGAGCACTTATCTAGTACTTCTGTTGGGTACAAATTGGTATAACCACTGTTAAAAACAGTTTGGTATTATCTGTATACTCTTTTGTGCTTTTGGCTTTGCATTTTTTTCATAAATTAAGGAAAATTGTCAAATATTTATTTTGACTTTCTGCATGAATTGAATTCTAGTTCAGGGTAACGAAATAAATGACGAGGAAAAGTTATTCTCTGTGGAAGAATTCTGGCTAAAAAATGCAGGATGAATAGAATTAGAAAATCACCATTATACAACCCTTAGTAAAAGCATTTAAGTAGCCTTCATTATTGTGTGCTAAAACCATTGGCTGAAAATCGATGGGGAACTTTATAATGGAGTAATCAGATTGATACCACCTGAACCCACTGATCAAGTTCACAGAGCTTCACATATTAAAAATTCTTACCTAAAAAAAAAAATTGAAACAATTTCATCATGACAGTTGACAGGAAATAGGAGGATAGAGGTAGGGTATAACAAACAGCAGCACAAGAGAGATCAGTCGCATTTAGAATATGAGACATTTCTTCGGACAACTGACCTGGTTTCTCCAACAAATCAACAGCATAAAAGATAAAACGAAGGAAGAGGGCTGTTATAAAGTAAAAGATAGAATAAGAAAACACAACATTGTTTGGATTTTGATTTGGTCAAACCAACCGTGAAAAGATAACTTTAAGACAATCAATGAAATATGAATAAGGACTAACTAGGTATTGAAAATAATAAGGACTTATTTTGTTAAGTATGATAATGTCATAATGTATTCTTTTAAAATGTTATCAGATAAAGATTCATACTGAAGTGTTTACAGGTGAAATGACATATCTTGTATTTGCTTTAATATAAACAAAGCTCTTAAGGTAATAGAATCGAGTGTTTTTAGTAAATTAGCTATAGGGGTGGTGATGGAGAGGAAGAGGTCTAGGATAACATCTGGATTTTGCCTTGGGTTGCAAGGGTGGTGCCATTTACCAAGATAGGGGATACAGAAGCAAAAGCAGGCTTCAGGGATTAAAATGAGTTACATTTGAAAATAAGTTTTAGGTGTTAATGGGACAGCCAGAAGGTTCTCTGTAGTGAGCAGCAGGATAATTGAGTCTGAAGTAAAGAAGAGAGACCTGCACTAGGGTTGTAGTTTTGAAGACAACTCCACTCCAGAACACTGATCAAATAACCCAGGAGAATGGATATGGTAAGTAAAGAAGTCCAAGGATGAACTCTGGTGAATGCCAACATGCATGAAACAAACAAGGGAGAGTTCAATGAGGGATTCAGAGAATAAAAGGTTAGAGTACTTGAATAGCTTTGAGAAGACAGGATTAATCAACATGATGATTAATCAACACTAATCAAATAATGTAGAGAAGTTATTTTTAAGAAAATAATCCATAGGATTTTGAAACTGGCAGTCACTGGTGATTTTAGCAGGAGTCATGTCATTTGCACAATGGTAGCAGAGAACTAATTACAGTGAGTTAGTGTCTACCTGAGAAGTGAGAATTGGAGACACTTGTTTTATTTTGAAGAGCTTAGCTGGAAACTGAAAGAGAGAGAGGGCAATAATTGGAGTACAGAGAGGATTCCATTTCTTTAATATAGAAATGGCTTCAGCATGTTTAGGGGAAAGATAAAAGAGCCAGTTGAGAGGGTCAGTTTGAGAATCTATTAAAAAAAGAGAGAACAACAGATGAAGTATAGCCTCAGTGGAAAGAGGGATGGAAAGCATCAGAAACAAGTTGTATAAATTAGCTCTAAACAAGACAAGGAGTTTTTTTCTCTGAATCTGGAAAAATGTGGTGAGAGTAGAAGCATGTATAAAGAAATAATTCACTTAGTAAGAATGAACTATTAATTTTGTTTTCCAGAAAAAAACTGTTTCTAAAAGTAGAAAGTGGAGCCACCTGGGGTCAGACCTATTTTGTTTCAAAAATGTTACCAGAAAAGCTTGAGTCACTCTTAGGGCATATATTCTCTCATGATTCTTGGGGAAGCCTGAGCCTTGCTGTGTTGGGGGAATGTGTACAAGTTTGCAGCAACTTGGCCCTCTCAGAGGTGGGCTTAGGGACAAGATGGCATGGTGGTGTTCCAACAGTCAGGAGCAGAAATGTTCTGAATGTAGATGGTGGGCCCAGGGGCCAATGGCTGCCAGAAAGGAATTGTGACCGGCAATAATCAGAAGGGTACTCTGAGGGGGGCACTGGCTAATGAGGAAGTTGATTTAGGCTGACAGAGAGACAGATCAGTGGTAGTTTCTATGTTTAGACCCACTATTCCTTGTGAAAAGTTAGGCAAATCACATATGGAGAGGAGTCAGGATCAGCAGTTGAGAATGGTTTTGAGAGAGTGGTGAAGCTTTAGAATATTTTTAGGTAGGAGGGTAAAATTAAGAGTAGAGAAAAAGCACATAAATGGGTGCCAGAGGACCCTAAAGAGCCCAGCTGAGTTTGAGATCATAAATTATTAGCAGCAGCCATCCACACCTTTGGGAAATTTCCTAAAATTTCCTTCAGCAGTACCCAGGTCCAGCTACAGGTGCAGGCAAGAAGATGTCTAGATCAATCTACCTTTGGGGGTTAGCAGGACAGATGCAATCAAAGCACAGTAAGACATAGGCAGTGGGGCTTACTGCAAAAGAGAAGTTAAATGATATGCCGTGCATCTAGTTTGCATAGGAAAAGGGGTAAATCCATGAAAGTAGTAATGGGTTGGCAAGTCTTTAGATAATGGCGATAAAGATGAGAAGATGGCAGGGATGTCAGAGAAATAGAGTGTTGTTACCAGTGTCAAATAATGATCCGGATACAGCAGTGGAGAGTTAAAGCAGAATGCTGCCACTACTTCTGTGTTCTATGGTAAGTAAGAGATAGTAGAATAAAAAGTTTAGCTTGAGAGCTATTCAGAAGGAGATAGAAGGATTGGATCTGTAAATAGATTGACAGTGTAGAGTAGATGCTGTGTGATGGGATGAGGGCTCCAGAGGAAAGGGTAGGGGTCAATAGTAAAAAGAATGATGGATGGAAGGAATCCCAGAACAGGCCAGTGATGAGAGTAAATGACAATGAGCTAGTCAGATGCCTGTACTTTGGTTGGTGGCCAAAGAAAAGTGGGGGGAGAATGTGTTAGATGGACTGCTCTTGAGGCTTCTAGACAGACCGAGTTCCAAGCGGTGCAAGAGCCTCATGAGGTTAGCAATATTTAGGCTCTACTTATCATTTAAAAGGAATGTCACTGAGAATTTACTTATCTCATCTCTGAAGAGTTCTCTTCCTCAGACTGCTAATGGAAATAAATGCATCTATGTTCATTCCACATTTTAAAGTTTACTTATTTTTTATTCAAATCACTCTTACCACATTCCTACTCTCTATACATTAGCATTCTAAGCGCAATGTAGAACATAAAAATAAAAATCCTTTATCCTGGCCTCTGAGGAGCTTGTTCTCTTATTGAAGGTGTGAGAAATGTACAATTTACCTCATATCTGTGGGTCTTGGAAGAAGTCTTCTTTTTCCATTAAAGTAGACTTCAAAATCTTCAATCTTTAGCCTGTGGGCATAGTCAATGTATCCTGACACCTCTTGTCCATGAGAATTTCTGTCACGAATAAAGATCACAGACTGGTAGCACAGAAAAATAGAGAATGGAGAAAGTAAATGAATAAAAGTCATTTGAGTAAATTATATATGAGAATAAAAGCTACCATTATTGAATGTTACATGTGCCAGATCCTGTTCTAAGTGCTGTACATTTCATCCTTACAATGATCCTACGAGGTAGGTACTACTATTTTCTCCTGACAGATGAAGAAATTTATGAAAAGTTAACTGAGTGTGCATATAATGTGCATTTATAGTAATTTTATATAATAATATCAATAAATAAGGGCAGACATTATTGTGTTTATAATACATTAATTTCTTTGCTTCCCCCCCATCCTATTGTCTTCTCTTTGTCATCATTTTTTAGATTAAAAAACTGAGAAACAGAGAGGTTGGGTACGTCACTCAAGGTCTTACAGCTAGTAAATGCAAAAACTCACATTAAAACTCAGGCTCATGTGTTTGTCCTTCTAATCACTACATTCTTCTTCCATTTGAACTACTATGTATTTCTGTCATAGAGATATAAATTGGGTTCCTTCTTCGCATTACTGTGAGAGTCAAAAAAAATCTCTTTACAAAATTAAAATCTTTTTATAATTTAAAATTGCTTAACAAAATTAATTCCATAGGTCAAAATTATATAGCAAGTACATATTTCTCATTCATATTAATTCCTTCCCAAATATCACTGACCACATACTACATGTTAGGCATTGTTGTAAGTGCCAAGGATACAGTGATAAACAAGACAGTAAAGGTCCTGACCTCTCCGCACTTATGTTCTGGTGAGGGGAGACACACAATAGACATACATGAAAAGAAAAAAAATACTTCCAGTGAGTGATAAATACCACTAAGCAAATAAAGAAGATGGTTGGCTAGAGAATGAGTTGGTGGTGAAGGCTACTTCAGGCAGAGTAATCAGAAAAGACTTGAGGAGGTCACATTTAAGCCAAGACTTGAAGGATGAGAAGTGAGCCATGTAAAGATCTAGAATAGGACACTAGCAGGCAAAGAGAACAGCTCGTACAAAGGCCCTAAAGAAGAAACAAGGTAATACAAATGGATGAATTATAATCTTTTCCCTATCAAGCCAACAGACATTGATCTCAAGTTCTAGGAGAGAAAAAGAAAAAGAAGGAAAACCCCTATTGTAATTGAAAAAGGTCTTAAAGTATTTATTTCCAAATCTAGATCAAAGTGCAGAATTTCATGGCACAATTCTCTATTTACAGGAAGAACCTATAAACAAGCCTTCCTTTTCCTCTCCAGCAATCACTGGATTGTTACTTGTTGGGTCTTTGTGTTGTCAATTACAGGAAGCACTAATATGAATTACCTTACATAGCAGAGCTTCCAAAAGGGTGGTTAGAAAACTGAAAGAGTTCTTTTTCCTGCTGCAACTAAGAAAATCTATTGCTATCAATATCCCAATTGAAAAACCAAAGAACAGAGACACAATTTACAACCAGTTGTAATTCTGCTGATGCTTCATCTTCCTGCCTACGCTGGTTGTTTGGTATTGGTGCTGAGAATAGTGTGCTGAGAAGGATTCTCAGGCACGTTCGTGGCTCAAGGGGAGGAAGTGTTGTGATAGCTTAGTAATATTTCCCATAGATATGGCTGGAGAACTAGCATTCATTGTTATTCCTGTGCTCTATCTTACATAGATTCAATTCTTAGTTCTTCTCATTTCCCCCACATAACTCCAGGCTAAATTTAGATAAATTTCTCCATGCTTTTAGGCACTTATTTTTTAGTTTTTATAGCACAAATTCTAAATAGATAGTAACTCAAAGAGACTTCTTAAGACTTTCACACCACTAAACCAATAACTAGCATTGCTGCTCCCGCTTAAACAAGGCCAGGAGGTAGAGCTATCAATATTTCATATGCAGTCCTAAAGGTACTTGAAATTTTTATTCCCTCAAGTCTGCTTCTGATGTTAGGCAAGGCATGCAGAGACAGAGAGAGGGGAAAAAAGGTGTAAAGTAAATCCTCTACTTTCAAAATGGAACTCTATTAAGAGAAAACTCCTCTGTTTCTGTCTTTGTCTCTGTTTCTGTCTCTCTCTCTTTTTAAATGAGAAATGGACCAGTCTTATTTTTCCAGCAGAATGGCATACCAGACATTGTGACTGAGCTTCCTGCTGAAAACAAATACAAATGTGGATGAAATCTAAAAAACAACTTGTAACATGCATTGATGCATTGGTGAGGAAATGAGGAATACTTAAAGAGTCCCAACACTAAGTGAAAACAGGAACCCAGAGAAGAAAGCAGAGCCCTAAAGTCATCTTTGTCCTGCAGAAATGTGCCCAACCCCAGGGAATCTCAGCAAGGATTTCATGACCTTGTGGAGTGGGAGTGACAGGAAACAAGATCCAGCCTTTCACGTGGAGAGAGTAACAGAACTTAGTGCCTCAAGATAAAGCTGAGAATCAAAAAATAATGAAAAAATATCTTCAATGTGTCCAGAGAAAAGAAGAATCATTCAGAATTATAGAAGAGAAAATATATTTCTAGTGAGCAAAATATAGACATTTTGAGACAAAAAAAGTGAAAGAATTGGATAACAACAGACTCTTGCTCAAAGAAATTCTGCAGGATGTATTTCAGGCAAAAGAAAGTGACTCCAGCTGGAAGGTCAGACATAAAGTACAGAATGATAATCAAAGAAAGTAGTAAATATATAGGTAAATATAAACAAATAATGACTATAAAATAATAATAATAATGTCTTTTGTAATAAAAAAGAACAGCATGTCTAAAATTTTTTAAATAAACATCTATGTTTGGAGGGAATGATCAGAGTAAAAGTGTTGGACTGTCTTGGGATTTTTTAGAATGAGGGCAGCTATATTGACTTTAGAATTTGATAAATATGCATGTATAAATCTAGCACTACCATCAACAAATTGGAAATAGTGTATATGACGTTTAAATTATTAGAGGAAAAAATAAAATGAGAAAAAGTGATCAACCAATGAAACAGAAGGCAAGAAGGAAAAGAAAAGAAACCAAATTGATCTATCTTGGACTTCTAGCCTTGAGAACAGTGAGAATATAAATTTCTGTTGTTTAAGCTACCCAGTCTGTGATATTTTGTTGTGGAAGCCCTAGGAAACCAATATAGATAGTAATAAATTAAAATAATTAATTATATTATGATAAATGTAAATGGACAAATGTTTAAGTTTAAAGACAAAGATTATTAGAGCAGATACAAAAATATGATGTAACACTAACACATAAGGTTGAAAGTTAAATGATCAAAGAATATACATAATAAAATTTTTATCCAAAAGAGAGCTGGTATCAGTATATTGATATTAAACAAACTAGAGTTTAAGGCAAAAAACATTACTAGAGAGGGAGAGTCACTAGATAATGATAAAGGATTCAATTCACAGAAAAATATAACAATCTAAACCTAAATGAACCTTTGAAAACATAGCCTCAAAATATTTAAAGGAAAAATTGATAGAACTAAAAGGACAAATAGACGAGTCATCATTGCTGTGGTAAATTTCTCTCATTAAGTTCTAAATCAAATGTAATAAATACATAAATATTATAGAATTAATATAGATTGTAAATAACTAGAAATGCAAGCTGGAACGCTTGGTTTTTACCTTAGTTGAGTACCTAAACGTTTTTACTCTTCAATGTTTTTGTGGACAGAATGATGGTCTAATATATTTGGCCATAATTTCACTATTTTACATTATTATATATAGCCCTCCCATGTGAGTTAAAGCCCCCTATCCAGGGAAATCTGAGTAAATTTATTTCAAATCTCACTTCTCCAGCCTTGTGAGAGTTAAATGTCTGCTCTGCAGTTTTTGTGAATCCTGGGGTTTTCTGAAGTTGGAGAACTTCAAGTGAGCCCTAAATGTGTGTAAGTGTGGGTCCCTCTAGTGTCACTGTTACGTCCCTGGGTGGGTTGCTCAAACTCTTAATGTTTCTCTCTCTTCATAAGTCCTATGCTCTTACGTAGATCCCTACAAAATCCAGCAAGTTTCTACCAAACCAAAACAAACATCCCCAACACCAAAAAAACATAACAAAACAAACAAAAACCCAAAATCCTGCTTGGACCTAAGCATTTAGTTAGTTAAGCCTTCTTGCAGGCTCTCCCTTCTTTCTGTTTCTCCTTTGACTCTATAGAGCAACAGAATAATCTCTTTCTTTTGTCTTGCATGGAACTACTCAGCTCACATTCAGGTGCTGTGAGTGTCTTACCTCTGCTCTATGCACTCAATTTGTAAGCAGCACGCAAATACTGTTTCTCGATGGAAATTCTAGTGATCATATGCATGATTTCTTTTATTTTCAATAGAAACAAAATGTTTCATTAAAATTTCTATAATTTTAAATGTAAAAAAGGTAATCACAAGGAGCTGTTTTCAAATCTGTACAGGGAAAATGAAAATTACTTCATTCATATCTTTCTAAGTTTGGCAACATATGTGTATAAGTGTATATTTAAAAAGAACTTTTAGTGAAATAAAAAAATTGCTAAAATAAAAAATCTTCCTAATGAACAGCATTCTTCATGAAATTATTTTAAAATTTTGATTAGAACTATTGATGTGTAGTAATTGGTGATAAATTGTCAGGAAATTATAAGTCAACATTTAGTTTTAGAAATACATCATCATTAAAGCACAGTGTAGGGTCATAGGAAAAAATAATAAGACAGAAGAGGTGAGAGATAGTTGTAAAGCACTTGAGGGCTGGTTGATATCTGTCTCTTGTTTATTTTGTATTATATGGATTGTCCTAGAACTAGAATGAAGTTAACACTCTTGATTAATTAATTTAATTTATTCATTCATAAAATGTATATTTTCCTCCAAGGTGAATACGAATTACTCCTACTATTAATACTACTAGCTATCATTTATTAAGAAGCCACTATGTTCTGAGCAAAATATTAGCAGCTTTACATTCATTTTCTTATTTAATTCTCTCAAAAATGTATAACGGCTAGGTAGCATTATTAACAGCATT